CAAGGGAAAAACAAATACGCTAAGTAACACTAGAGGAATGAAACCAAGTAAGTGCAGACTATGGGATACTAGACACAGAAAAAATGACCCATTTTCAGACAGGTTACAAGGTCCACAGATTAAATTTAAGAGACATATCAACTAAATGCAATGCATGAACCCTGTTTAGAACAAGATTCAAACAAACAGTAAAACAACAACAACAACAACAAAATTAGGGGAAATTGTAAACATTGCCTGGACACTTGTATTAAGAAATTATTAAATTTTTTTAGGCCGGGCGCGGTGGCTCAAGCCTGTAATCCCAGCACTTTGGGAGGCCGAGGCGGGTGGATCACAAGGTCAAGAGATCGAGACCATCCTGGTCAACATGGTGAAATCCCGTCTCTACCAAAAATACAAAAAAACATTAGCTGGGCATGGTGGTGCGTGCCTGTAATCCCAGCTACTCAGGAGGCTGAGGCAGGAGAATTGCCTGAACCCAGGAGGTGGAGGTTGCGGTGAGCCGAGATCGTGCCATTGCACTCCAGCCTGGGTAACATGAGTGAAACTCCGTCTCAAAAAAAAAAAAAAAAATTTTTTTAGTGTACGGTTATTATGATGCCTTTTTAAAAAGATTCCTTTTCCACAGATATTGAACTATTCGCAGAAGAAATGATATGATGTCTGACATTTGCTTCAAAATAATCCAGTGGTGGTGATGAAATAAGATTAGTCCTGAGCTGATGATTATGGAAGGAGGGAGTTCCTTTCTGTGTTGGAAATTTTCCAAGTGATAGCTCAATTCTTTCCCCCAGCCTAACTCCAATCTAAACCTTCCAACTATTACAATCTTAGAGTCAGGTCCCAGCAGACTACAGAAACCTTCTTTCCATCCAGACATGCCGTGCTCTGCCCAGATATGCCTGTGCTTGCCACCATACCTTGCAAGCCAGGGATGCCATGCTGTTGCAGCCACTCATGCAGGGTGCGGGTGGCATTCCAGTGGCTGGGAGTAGGACAGCATTCTCCCACCACCAGTCCTGCCACGTGGATGCCCGAGGATTCAAACCACTGTGGATGGAAAAAGATTGCGAGGAACTTCAGACCAAATTATTTCTTTACAGTATTATCCCCATTGTGTGGCCATAAACCCTATATTCAAACACACTGAATGTCCTTCAATTTACCAAGCTTTTGGTGCTTTTGCATAGGTATTTCCTTTTACTGACAATGCTCTCCCCTATATGAAACACAACCCACAGGCTCAGGGTGCCCAGTCCATCACTGAAAACGACATTTTCCTTTAATTAATTAATTTGAGATGGAGTCTCACTCTGTCACCCAGGCTGGAGTACAGCGGCGCGATCTCAGCCTACTGCAACCTCGACTTCCCAGGTTCCAGCGATTCTCCTGCCTCAGCCTCCTGAGTAGCTAGGACTATCGGCATGTGCCACCACGCCTGGCCTCTTGTATTTTTAGTAGAGACCGGGTTTCACCATGTTAGCCAGGACGGTCTCGATCTCCTGACCTCATGATCTGTCCACCTCGGCCTCCTAAAGTACTGAGATTATAGGCATGAGCCACCGTGCCCGGCCATTTTTTT